TGGATTTAAATCAGGTTGACTGGGCCATTCTACAGCTTGATTTTCTATCTCTGAAACCATCTGAGAGTTTTCTTGGCTGTGTTTTGGATCATTGTCTTACTGAAATGTCCAACCTGGTTTCAGTTTCATCACCCTGGTAATGTAGATGTTGGACTGAAGTAGCTAATATTAATTTACAATCGTGAAGGGCAGAGGGTTGCTGATTAACTATTCCAGCTGCTGTCTGGACTTTCACTGCCTTTCTACACCTCCCTTTCTTCATGTATTCAATACTTTCCAGTGTCATTATATTTTATTACACAACGTTTTTGTAAACTAATTAGACTGGTTTTCTTTGGATATGGATTTTTTGGCTGTTATCAACATCCAGTGAAATTTTTAAGTCAACAGCAACTTTAGAAATATGTTTTTGAGGAAAAACGGTGATGAGTTTAATACTTATTTTCCCCGTTGTATTTATATATTTTAAATATTTGTCAAGTGATGTTTAACAAAGCAAGGACATTTTCACAGTATTACCTATTATATTTTTAAGAGTAACTCTTATTTCTTTTAGTTTGTCTGGAATAAAAGCAGTTTTAATTGACTTTTTAAATTATTTGTAAGGTCAATATAATCATACCTACACTGTAAAAATAGCTGGGCTCCACAAATTCATTACTATCTCAATTGGCTACAGAACAAACTGCTGTCAAATGACTTGCCTATATTTAACCTAGTTAGGCTTTTAAAATGAAAACTTTAAGCTCAATAGTATCTTGCAAAATATCTAGTAAAATGTTTTGTGCTGTCATCATTTTATAGACAAAATAAATTACAGTAGTTATTAGAAATTAGTTTTTGAAATCTTTAAAAATGCATTTAAAAATCTGCACCTGGGAAATAATTGAAAAAAATTATAAATTGACATGAGGGCTAGTAATTTAGCCTTCAACTGTATATACCAAAGCAACCTGTATAAAACAATTAACACAGATAAAGTGTGCACGTATTTGAGATGTGGATTGCACTGTGACTGGACTTTGTTTCTTTGACTGGACTTTACAAATGTAAAGGATTTGTTGTGGTCTGAAATCAACTGTTATATTTGAGGGTCAATATCTGAAGAAATCTTAATCTGGCTATGAAGACAAAACATGTTAATCCATGAAGTCCAGTGCACATTAGGCAAAAACGCCATTATTATAGCTGCAAAATAAAACTTGTATTATAACTGCAATGAAAAATAGCATGCCTTAAGTGAATTAAGTTATTAATTCTTATTAAGTATGTCTTAAGTAAATAACTAAAGATTTGGTTTAAAATAGTGTTCAATTGCTTTAAAATATTACTTGCATTGTTATTCAGAAGCTTGCTCTCCAGATTGCCATGACTTTCCCCCCAATTTTAGGTTGTTAGCTGTCATTTCAGTGAACAAAATCAAATCAAATGTGGGATTTGATGTGGTACAAGGTAAAAAAACAAAAACAAAATCAAAAATAAAAGAAAATGCAAGTTCAAGCAGCATCATCTTCCAACAAGGAAAATGAAGAATTGTCATCACTTGACTAAAGTACAGCTGAACATCCGTCCTCTTTCCTTACAAGATGTCGTCATTACAATGTATTTTGCTCTGAGATCATATCTGTTTATGGACTGGTGGTTCATTAACTCAAAGAGCGCAACATATTCACACCTCAGGACTGCAAGACGACTACTGATCCTTAGACACACAGATCGAGGAAACTAAAGTCATAAATGTCATGCAAACACTCCGATCTTGACTGGTGTGTCAACAGCGCTTTTCCTCAGCGTAACAGTATTTGCAAATAAAAGATTTTTATAGTTGTGTTTGTTTTACAAGTTTACGTTTTATAACTTTAGGTTGAGCTTAGAAGGTTCAGTTTATCTGTAACTGAGAGGGTAAAGTTTAATAGTTCAGAAAGAGAGAAACATGGTTCATTAAATCAATCAAATCTGCAGCTAAATAACAAACAAGGATTTTAAACAAAGATTCCATGTGGATGGATTACTTTGACAAATTAAAAGGCATAAACAAAAACAGTAAATAAAAATAGGCATACACAACTAAAAAAAAGAATATAAAAATAATTAGTAAGCATAAACAATCTTCCAAGGTGTATATAGACAGTATAAATAAAAAAGAAAATATTAAAAAGTATAAATAAAGGACTAATAAAAGCAAGCAAAACAACCATAAATAAAAGGAATAAATGCATAAAGCTGTACATGTAAGGCATATAAATAAATATAAAAAAGGCATTAATGCAATAGACTATAAATAAACTCATTGATTAAATAAAAAGGAAACCAACAAATGAGATAAAATAAATAAATAAATAAAATTAATTAATTATTTAATTAAATAAATTCAAATAAATGAATAAATTTAAATAAATAAATTAATTAATTTATAAAATAATTAAGGAAATAAAAAAATAAATTTGAAAAAAAGTAAAGGAAATAAATAAATAAAATAATAAATAAATAAAGGAAATAAATAAATGATTTAATTATTAAGGATATAAAAATTATAAATAAACAAAATAAATTAAGGAAATAAAATCAATAAACAAACAAACAAAATAAAGAAAGAAATAAAATAAACAAAGGAAATAAATAAATAAAATAATTATTTAATTAATTAGGGAAATAAACATAAATAAATTATTAAATAAAAAAAAAAAATAAATAAATAATAGAAATAAATAAGGGAAATAAACAATTATTAAAGGAAATAAATAAATAATTAAATTAAGGGAAACAAATAAATGAATTGATAAACAAATTAATTAATTCATTCATTAAGGAAATAAAAAATAACAAATAAATAAATAAATAAATAAATAAATAAATAAATAAATAAATAAATAAATAAATAAATAAATAAATAAATAAATAAATACAGGCACAGCCATTTCAGCAGTATTGGTTTAGGCTCTGCATTTTCAGTTTGAACTTTTGTCATATGATTGGAGTTATATGCCGTTTCTAAATGATGTAGGATAGAAATAGCACTGTACAGCCACCCGTGATAGTCTTAGGAGCTCTAAATGCAGTGGCTGCGGTGATAATACCACACAACGCTGGCCTGTTTTTTTCTAGCCCAACAGAGCTGCGCTGTTAGCTATACATGGACAGGAGACACATTTGGCTTGGAGTGAGAGTACATGCTTACTTAATACCACACTAATCTTGAATCCACTACAGCAAACAGACAACAAGAACGAATTCATCTACACTTGGAGGCTATTATGAGAGATGGATGATAAATGCACGAACTGTGCAAGAGACATTAAAACATATTTAAAGAAGACATGTTCATTTTGTAGTATTGAGGCCAGTCATCTTAAACCTAGAAAATATACTTAGTTTTTGTAGGACTTTTGCTGCAAGCATGTGAAAAAGAGAGCAGCTCAATATTTGCCCCGGTTGTGAAATAAACAGGAGATCTTATTATAAAATTAGAGATCTTTAATCTGCATGTTTGCACCCACAGCACTTTGTCATTTCTGTTTACACGCTACCGCAGCTAAAAGTTTACAATGTCTGCACCAGAAATAAAAAAAAAAATTACTGATGTTTTGTAGTTGGTAGTTCCACCATCAGCATAATTCATAAACACACATTAAATATGCACTGTATAGTCAGTTGACAGGGTTTTTAAATGAGATAATGTATTAATGGTGTAATATTTCTTTGAACACTGAGAAGTAACATGACATTGAATGAGTTTAATTAATGAGTTTAAATAAATGCATCCACTAACCTTTCAGAAACGTCCTGCAGTCTTGAAGTTGAAATCTCTCCATTGTCTGACTGTGAATGTAAGTTTGCACTTTGCAACAGGTTATTTGACATTTTAGTTGTTGACATCTCTAGAAAAATGTTGTTGTTGTTCCTGGGGAGTCAGAATAGCCAACAAAATCTAATGCCAATTCATAAGTTTTAGATTTGATGGCTAATTCGCATTAATTTCAATATCTCAATTGTACCTTTTGATTTGCTCATCCCCCTAATGGCAGTTGTGTTTATGGACAGCATTTGTGGGCATGTCTGCCTTTAAAAATTATATGATACATTTTATAGGACTCACAACAGACTATATAAGATTAAAATGGGAAAAGGAAGTAGGCATTATGCTGAATCAAGAACAATGGGTTAAAATATGTGCTGTCCCACACACCTCAACAAGCTCAAGAATGTGGCGTGAGTTTTGTTGGATAAACTTAATTAGATTTTTTATTACACCAAAAATTAAATCATTACAATCATAGATTATTCATCCTTGTTGGAGGAGCTTAGGGGTAAAAGAGGCACATCATGCGCATGTATTCTGGCAGTGTTCAAGAATGAACAGTTTTTGGGAAATTGTGCACACTCTGCCATCAATGATATTTTTGATCTTCATATATTTCTAGATCATTCGAAGTACTTTAACTAGGAGATATGCCTATTAAAATTGAAAAGAAGAATAGATATCTCTTAAAAAGATATTTTTAGCAAGAAGTAAAAAAGCTTTAATTCGGAAATGGTATAAAGAAGACCCATCAACAAAAGACGAAAGGTTGAAGTAATCGAAGTGCATGTGTCATTTTTCCATTTCAATTAGAGATCTTTGAAAAGAAATGGAGTAAATGGCTAGCTTTCTCTACAACGACAATAAGATTATCTATAACTGATGATTTACATAATTGCAGAGGATATGCATCATTGTGAGAATGTGTTTGGTAACCTTTTATTATATTCTATTGATTTATTTATTATGACGAGATTAATTTCATATTTTTATATATGTACATATATAGATATGGATGTATTGGCATATATACGTATGTATGTATGCATGTATGTTTGTATGTAGATTTATGTATATATGTATTATTATTATTTTTTGTTTTGTTTTGTTCCCACTGGTTATTTGTTCCAAAAAAATCTATAAAAACTGAGTTAAAAAAAAAAACATGATTTCATATTTCAATTTAAATTGCTTGAATTTGTATGAATGAACCATTTTATTGACAATATGTAAAATATTTACATTTCTCTGTGATTGGGCTGAAATAGCATATAAAGGCTCCGCCCTTTTCTGAAAAGCAGCAGCTAATTTACATTTAAAGGGACACGCATAAAAGTGCTTGTTTTTGCTCACACCCAAATAAAAGCCAAATTAACAAGCTATAATAAATGCTCTGCTGGTTATTTAAAGTTGAAGTTTACATACACACCCTGTGAACATCAGATATTTCTATTACATCTCATGAAAGGTGGTATAATATGTCGCTTTTAAGTGTGGTATCGTGTTTCTGTCACTTGCCCGTTTGGTGTTCCCCACTGCTCTTCATTGTTGTGTCCGGTCATGTAAACCCAAACGAAACACCTCCTTCCCTCCTTCAGAAGTCTGAACTGAAAGAGAGAGAGAGAGAAAACTCATGAAATGTAAGCTTCTGCTTGAGCCGCTGACCTGAACTTAACCGGGACGGCCTGACTGATTTTAAACACAGCCGGAGCTCTTCTGCAGCCCTCATCAAGAGCAAAGCCACCCATGAAGGATGGTTTGTTTTCATGGTGCTTTTAAACATGAATAATACTCCAGTGGTCACGAAACACAGGCCAGGCCCTGTCATGACAGAGTTCTCCTTGTTTCTTAAGTTCTGCCTCAGAAACAGGCCATTCAACACTAAGTATGGATTTTAACAGGTAAAAGCACAAAATCAACATATGAAGAGTTCAAATGCAAAACCCTCTAAATACATCAGACCTCTTTTCTTGTATATGAGCATTTTTTTAATCAGGCTCCTCTGATTAGATTCAGAAGTTTCATTTTATATGTAATAGGAAGGTTATTAGCTAGTAAATAAAATACCTTTTTTTTTTTAAAATGTCACTTTAGACAATTCTTTGGATTTTAACCAGGTACATTTTGTTTTGCGTCAAAACCAGCTAAATTCACTTTGCTTTTTTTTGCAAAAACCTCCAAATCCACCTATTGGGACAAGACAGTGTAATTAGTTGAAAATCAATAAGCACGCAATTAAACATGCAAAATGTTAAGTAAGTGGCGGTTCATTCCCATGTGATAAACCAGGGGAAAAGCAAAGGATATTGAATAAATTAAATCTCTCAAGTAAGTGCATTAATCTAACATTAATTAAATCTTAATCTGTTGTCATTTCTGATATTTAGGATTTAAATTTAATGTAAGTAGAGCAATGTAAACATTTTAAACATTAGCTTAGCTTGGTAGATTCAAATAATGTAGTTTAAAAACACTGTGAAACATCAATATCTGAGCAATGTCCATTAATATAAAAAAACGTATAGGTATTACGAAGTAATATAAATAATATATAGTTTTATAATATTATATTTAAGAAAAAATAGCTTAAATTAGCAAACAAAACCAACGCAATCCCACAGCAATACGTAACTTTTTGATTTAGGGGCTAATTCGTATGGATTTGGACGATCTAATTCGTACAATTTAGTACGATTTGCTCTTCACCCAATGACGGTTGGGGTTAGGTACAATGCCTCCTTTGTAAAATCGTAATTTTTCATACGACTGAACTCGTGCAAATTAGTCACTGAACTGACAAAACGTAAAATACTTATGTTTCCTCGTGAGATCAGGCTAAACAAAACACAAGGTAGGCCTCTCAGAAACTTTAGAAGCTGTCATTCATTCTTTCATTCTCCCCATACTTAAGGTCTTGGTCGCATTTTTATCCTCATATAGCATCCGGGTGGGATAAAAGAACAGCATCTTAACTCTGTCTTTCGTGAAATGCAATTGCCGTTTAATGTATAGTAAATCAGACTCATTTAAAGTAGCATCGCTGCACAAACATTATGAATGCATGCTACACTTCCGACTGTACATTGTGCTTTCTTTTTCCTATAATACACAGAGTTTTGTGGTAAGGGACGTTTTCATTTGCCATTCACTGACAGGCTCATGCAGTTCATCAAACTCCGTCTTTTAAAATCGAAAGCGGAATGTGTCTCCTCTCCTCATAAAAGCTGGCTCATCAGCGCGCTGCTACATTGAAAACACATGATTCGATTCGTGCTTTTGATTGGTTCTCGGGATATAGCGGCAAGTGGTGTTTAGCGGCTTTTGCCAACAAACTATTATTTGTGAATGTGCTGACGCAGGGATTTGGATTATCAGAAGCAAATCTATTTGTTGATGGTGTACTACATGCCTAAAGCTTTCACTCAATGTCTTTATCTCGTTTTTGGCGGAAGTGGAGGTTTTTCTCACATTAAAATCTTTGCTTTATCGGTGTCAGAACGTCTCCATACAGGTTTGCAGGAGCTGTTAGTCAGTGACCTGTGGGCTCCGATCGCTCAGCACAGGCTTCATCTGGAGTTGCCCGAGTCTTTAATGGGCGTTCATGAGGAGAGGTTGGTCCCTCTGCAATCCATCAGTCAAGAGCACTATTAACACTTCATCTCCGTCCAGTGGCCTCGTTCTTTCACTCCTCAACTGAGCCATTTCCTCAGGACAGGAGGGCGAGGAGGCCTTCCCCTCCTTGCTTTCTTTTCCTGGCACATGTTAATGAGGCTCTATGAGGCCCAGGACTCTTCTTAGATTTCACCCTTCCAGACAGAACAACACGGGCCAGACCAGTCGCTTTCAGAGACAGGGAAACACTTCTGAAAGACTAATATCAGTTCTCACTCACTCGGCGATGACAATAACAGACACTACTGCTTATACATTATATTTTTCAGCAGTTTTTCATAAATTTGATGATAGATCAGCATAAATAGATTTAAAATTATTGCACAATATATCGTTTTAGCATCAATATCGCAATGTGATCATTCGCAATAGTCAGGATCTGCAATGTCAAGTTCAGCGTCAGTTTATTCATCTCTCAGGAGTTTATTTCTCCCAATTCCAAGTTGTTCCCCCTAGTTGAGTTTTTGTTCATTATTTCTTCAAATTTATTTCTCTAACTTTTTTGTGAAACTAAAGTTATTCTTCAAATTGTCATGTTTTATATGCACAATTATGACCTTTAGATGGAAAATAAACTCACAAATGCCATTAAATTCATTTTAAAGTCAAACTTTTAGACAGCATATATAAGGTATTAAGTCTATAATTGCTGTAGCTGTTTTTATTTTCTGTTTCTTCTTCTTCTAAAAAAAAAAAAAAAAAGTCACATTTTCATCTGCCATTGGCTGGACAAACAGATACTCCCGCCCCAATAATCACACCATTGGTTTACCCAATGTTGCAATGCTGATCTTAAACAAAGCACGATTATTTTGTGCGTCCCTCAAGGTTGCAACCACATAATACGTCATTTGTGGAGTCAAGGTCGTGAACCTTCGAGTAATCTTTTCAATGTTTGATTTATCTCTGACAGCATTCAGAGTAATTTGAGCATTAAACAGAGCAATTACAGAACGAAAAGAAAGAGGTTCCTCGGGGATAGCAGGCCCTACCAGACCTGTAAAACGGGAAAAGAGTCTGATCATAACGTCATTCTCCGCTCTGCTAGGCTTAAGTGTAATTACCTGCCATGAAACGCCAAGCTAGGCTCAATCTCGCTTAATCCCTCTCTAATACTCAAACATACTGCGCTAGTTTTTGATGGAAAGCCTGAAGTTAGCTGATTTCAGATTCAGAAAGGGAGCAGTTTGTGGCTTAAAACATCAGTATTTCTCTGTGCTAGTGATATTGAGTAACAAAACGAGGCAGCAGTGTCTACATCAGTCCGCTTCTGTTATCAGATCGATATGTGTTACATGACACCCTGCTCTGCATCATAACTAGCGGCTTATCTCTTGTTTATTATCAGTCTGTCTTATGTTAACAATAAGCTTACAAACTTGGCTTGAGTTTCTTTTGACTGTTAGGTTAACTCCGAGTCCAAACTGTGCGTCAAACAGAAAGACTTTGTGCCCAAGGACAAAAAGTGTCACTTCACGGTCACTGCTGGCCAACAAAGCTATCAGCGTAACTAAATCTATATCTACTTTAAATCAATCTTTTCAGCTGCCAAGCGCTTTCATAAAGTATAATTGGTTCATTCATTTTCTTTTCAGCTATATTTAGGGTTGCCACAGTGGAATGAACCGCTAACTTATTCAGCATATGTTTTACGCAGCGGATGCCCTTTCAGATGCAACCCATTACAGGCAAACACCCATACACTCTCATTTACACACGTACACTACGTACAATTTAGCTTACCCAATTCACCTGTACCACATAACTGTGGGAGAAATCTGAGCACCCAGAGGAAACCCACGCAATCATGGAGAGAACATGCCACCTCCACACAGAAATGCCAACTGACCCTACCTGGGAACGAACCAGCGACCATCTTACTGTGAGGCAATCATGCTACACACTGCACCGCCATGCCACCCAAGTAGAATTCAAAATAGAATGTACAGAATGTAAATGTGTATCAGTAAATTGGATCCGTGCGTTAGCTCCCATGTGACAATTAATCAATAACTGCTCTAGATTGAGGACGTTTTATCAGTTTAATAAGGATTAATTTATATGTCTTCACAAGCCTTCAACTATATAATTGTAACTTAGTTCTTATAAAATACAATTTTCTAACAACAAAATTGCAATTCATGAAGTGCATTTTGTGAAATCACTATAATTACTATAGTCACAGAGGCTGGGGAGGGGGAAAAGTCTGCAAAGTCCAGATTATCAATAAATTAAAAGCAAATCAAAGAGAAAAATAATGCTAAGAGTATATTGAAGCAAATAATTAAATTAATTCTCTTGTGCATTCGGTGTGATTGAGCACAATCAATAGACCACTTCAATGTTTCTGAATTCTACACACAGCCTCTACAAATCTTATTTCTATAATGATTCAGACAAAACTGCTGAATGCACACCCTTCAAAACTACTGTTGTGCAGCGCCGTAAGCACTGGTCCCTCATGAAATGCAAAACTAGTCCCTTATTTTTTTCAGCTTTTCAGCAATATGTCTTCATTATGTGTACACACTCCAGTAAAAAGCACAGTAAACCACAGTTGGCCTGATTCCTGCTCCCCTGCAGCACAGCGAGCAGTGCTTATGGAAGAAACAACATATCTGGCGCCCATCAACGCCGCTCTGGGTTTTGCTGGACGTGATGCTAACAGTAGGTGAAACGTGTCTGTAAGCGCTCCCAGCTGACTACTGTTTACTGGGCAGGAAACAGGAGATATGGGGCGAAAAGAATGGAAAAACGGTCTCCTGCTGACATGGCCAATGGTCATTATGATCACGCCGGCGAAGAATTCACACTCTTTACTGCACTTGGACTGGACAAAGAGTTTAACGCCTATACAGAAACGCAAACAGGAGATGATTAGCTCTCAATTTTGTTTTGAGAGTGTCTTAAATGATTATGAACACGCATGCTCACG